ACCATATAAAAAGTATATGAGTCACCACAGCGGCCTGGGTCCTGCATTTCCTGTCTCTCCTCAGCTGTACTATCAATAATAAAGGCAAATTCAGCCAAATAAAAAATTGATTATTATTGGGGACACATTTGGTATATGTACAAGCTTGTGTGGTCTATATAAATGATGTGTGTATATAGCAAATTAGCTTTAAGTCTTTATTGCACAGGGGAAGCTGCATCTATGTTTCAGTATCTAGAGCAATGATGTGTCAATTGTGTGTCAATTTTCAATTCAAAAATGCACGAGAACCTAAGGTGTTCTGGTAGGTGGATTTAATGTAGTTGCCACTGGAAAAATTGGAAAAATCGATGCTGCTGAGGTATTGCTGGTGGTGAATAGAACATAAACCTACACACTCTATACATCTGATGTGTGTCAGGACAATAGTTTTTGTTGGTGTCTTTGTCCAAAAGTAACATCAAACTGATTTGCAGTTACCAGTTTTACCGACTGCTGTGTATAGATTTAAATATGTACAGTTCATCTCACAAATATGCACAAACACATATGAGAGACTACAGAATTAAATTATGGATTAAAGATTTCGTAGTTTAGTTTAGTAGAATGTATAATAACAACATCATTCACTGAAATAATTGGTGGGTAGCCCAATGTAAGCCTTCTCCGTTCATGGCCCCTCAGCAGGATACCACACACATCAGATATTTGCTTGATTATATTAATAGCCCTTCCAAGGTGATTTGCACTTCTAATAATACATTATTCACTACTTACCATTCTGTTTTAAAATGAAGAACTACATGTTTTACATATATTTTCCTTTGCTTTTTCCTTTAACGCTCAGGGCTCCTCCCGTGGTTTCAGCTGGGAGATGTGTGCTAGCAGCGAGTTTGCTAAGTTACACAAGCTCTCTAAGCTTTTTTATATCAAGAAACTCACAAAATGTCAAGACAAGTAATATTCTTTCACCTATCTCTTTCCCCGAACTAATTGCCTAACTCCACAGAAAGATAAACTCACCAAAAACGTTGTGGTTAGTCTTTCCACTGTTCCAACAATGACCAACTTTGGTTTGGTTTAAATAAACCCTTAATTCACAGAGTTAGATGTGAAAATATTCTGGCTGTACACGCTGTCGCTGCCTCTTTCATGCCCAAGTTCCCTCTCGCTCCTCTCCCTCTTGATGCCTCTCCTGTCCCAGCCTGAAGCCTTGGAGTATGAATTTGACAGTGAGAGAGTCTCAGTCTCAGTTCTCACACATTGTGCCTTTAAAAAAGTATGCAGAAGAACCAGGGATATCATCTATTTCGTTCCACATATTCCTCTTCCTTGTCAAAACCTGGTATCTACATTGCCCACAAAGCAACTTGACCTCCGACAGTTTGGCCGGAGTATCAGGTGTGTTATGCTAGAAGCAGCTAATGAAGCCTGGAGCCGCTAGCCTTAAGTGACTTCAACTGAGGAATTTAATCAGATTTCCTGCCTTTATACACCTTTTTTCACATATTCACAAATTTCATGGAACTGGCCAGATTTGAATAAATTCAATTCGGGTGATGGAAATTGTCCCTGGAAACCTGAAGAAGCAATATCAGAACACTTTGATTTAGCCAGATCAAATGTTTGGAAGTAGGGCTTATATTCAATTCAGTTCAATTCAATTCAATTCAATTCAATTTTATTTATATAGTGGAAAATCACAACAACAGTTATCTCAGAGCGCTTTTCATAAAAGAGCAGGTCTAGACTGTACTCTGTGATGATATTTACAGAAACCCAACAGTTCCCACCAAGAGCAAGCACTAGGCGACAGAGGCAAGGAAAAACTTCCTTTTAAGAGGCAGAAACCTCGAGCAGAACCATAGCTCAGGGTTGGCGGCCATCTGCCTCGACCGGTTGGGGGTGAAGGAGAAAGAGAGAGGGAGCGAGAGAGAGAAGGCAAGAGAGGAACAGAGAGAAAGAGAGAGAGGGATGGAAGGAGAGAGAGAGGGGAGGGAGGCAGCCTACACAATATCCACACAGAGGTACAGACAACAACAACAGGTGATGTTGCTATAGACCAAATGAAAAATGGTACAGATATTTATAGTAGTGTTAATGATAATAATCGTAATGTTAATGATTATAATAACAATAATAACAATAGGACTAGTAACAATAATTGTAGCAGAGGGTGTCGAGCAGGAACACAGGGGCAGCAGGTGACTCGCAACCACAGATCCAGACTCCACAGCTCCAGAGCCAGAAACATCTGCAGGAAGTGATAGGAGGAGAGAGGAGAGGGACGAGAAAGCACAAGACTACGGGAAAGGGAAGAAGTCGAGTTAGTAACATGCATTAATGGGATGAGGTTGCATACAGAGGGAGAGAAAGTAGAGGAGAGAGGAGCTCAGTACATCATGGGAAATCCCTCGGCAGTCTAGGCCTATAGCAGCTTAACTAAGGGCATCATATTTAGACAGGATGTTTTTGCAATATTACGAAGGTGAAAAAAGACGGCCCTTAAAATTTGCTTAATGTGAGACTTAAACAACATGTTCTGATCAAAGACAACTCCAAAATTCCTCACAGTGGTGCTGGAGGCCAGGGCGATGCCATCAAGGGAAACTATATTTTTAGATAATGCGTCACGGAGGTGCCTGGGCCCTAGAACAATAACTTCAGTTTTATCAGAGTTTAACATTAGAAAATTACAGGTCATCCAGGTTTTAACATCCTGAAGACACATTTGAAGTTTAGCTAACTGATGAGTTTCATCTGGCTTGATCAATAGATATAACTGAGTATCATCTGCATAACAATGGAAGTTTATGGAATGTTTCCTGATAATATTGCCTAAAGGAAGCATATATAAAGTGGATTGGTCCGGTTTAATTACAGCTACTTTAAAGTACTGTGGTAGCCTGTTGATAAAGATAGATTGATCATATCTAGTAGAGAAGTGCTGACTAAGGGTAAAACTTCTTTAAGCAGCCTAGTCGGGATGGGGTCTAAGAGGCAGGTTGATGGTTTAGATGAAGAAATTAGAATAGAAGTTGGTAAAGATTGAGGGAAGCAAAGCAGTCTGAACATATATCTGGTTTTACAGCTGTTTCTGAGGTTCCTGAGTTTGGAGATAAGTCGGTGCTAGTTGAGGGCAGGTCTTGGTGAATTTTGTTTCTAATAGTTAGAATTTTATCATTAAAGAAGCTCATGAAGTCATAACTACTGAGGGCTGTGGGAATACTTGGCTCTATAGAACTGTGACTCTCTGTCAGCTCTACTGTGCACTGCTGATGGCACACGAATACGTATCATTTAAGTGAATGTCTGAACTCACCAAGACTTTATTTTTAACCAAGCAAGGCCAAAAATTATCACAGAGGCAAACTCTACTCCAGTCTGGTGTCACTGTTTATGATGCTGAAATGCAGTATTATGCTAGGTTCCCACTGAGGTGAGCCCTGTTTTCTTCATTAGATGGGGGCAGCCTTCATCTTTCTGGAGCCCCAGGTGAGGTAAAAGATAAATAAAAGAATAAAACATATTCTTTTATTTAAAACTGAATAAGCAAACAAAACACTACCCTCTTCTACGTCTGCATTTGTCAAAAAACAAAGTTTTCCAGATATTTCACATGCTGTAGCTTAGACAGGTTTCTCAGCTTCCAAAAATGCTCTTTTTGGCTCAAGGAGGTAAAGAAGAGTATGGTTTGAAAATTAATATTTGCTAGTCATAAATTTCTTAATTACCTGGGTTAAAGGTGAATGCAGCCTCACACAACCAAGAAGACAATAAAAGAAAAAGCGTTGCCCATCAGGGCCCACAAAAAATAGCGAGTCCCCAGGCAGTTGCCTATTTTGCCCATGCCACAGGCCAGTCCACACATGCTACTTGGAAGACATATTAGTTTGATTTTATGAAATGGTTCACCATGACATTAACAATAAGATCCAGGAAGGCAACAAAGTTCAGTAATTATCTTGGTGACTCCGTATGTCTGCACAAGGCAAGCAACCTAGATATCTACTTCTGCAGGGTACATACACTATTTGTTTGTGTTACAGATTAAAGCTCACAGGCCATTGCTCATGACAGGTATAAGTGTTTGAAGCAAAGATGAAACTCTTTGTGTCAGGACATGCTTTAAAAAAAGCTGAAATGTTGAGTGGGTACACTTATAATGAGCAGTCAGCCACTGCTGTGACTTATCGACCATAAGCTGACATAAATATGAAATATGGAAATGTACACACAAGCACATTAAAGGATTAAAATGGTAATCCAATTACTGCTTGTGTTCTTTTGTTTTGTTAAGAACTGTATTTGCGCTGCTATTTTTGTTGGAATTTTGTTTGTACTTTCTTCTACTAAACTGTTTCTGCTGCTGCTGCTGCTGCTGCTGCTGCAGGAATCATTACTTCACATGCATACTACAGGCAACATTATTTTTTCCCAGATAACCAAAACACCAGTTGTTTGCAAACATATTGTTTTCATGCAACAATGCAATGAAGTGACTCACAAGATCATGTAAATGAATGTGTGTGTACATTCAACCCACCATGCCTTATATCAACTTATACTCTTATGTGTCTGCCTGCCTTCCTCCCCTGCCACCATAAATAGAAACTGTTCCAGACACATTACTATTCCTACAACATAATCCAATGCAGGTATAACCTACATCATAGCACAGGAGTGATGCACGAGTTTTATAATGGCCTCATATTTCCTTCCATCTCCCCAGCATCCCTCCGGAATCAATAACGTTTGATGGAAACGACTGACCCGCGCGTTTTACATGATGTAAAGTGAGAAATGAGGTGAAATACCACAAAAGACCCAAGTTAGATTTGCACGCTTATAGGCTCCTGGTATAAAAATCGACTCCTCTGGCTGTGCCAGAGCATCCCTCCTGTCCTGAGGGGAGAGAGAGTGAGAGAGAGAGAGAGAGAGAGAGAGAGAGAGAGAGAGACACGCAGTGATACAGAGACACCGTGACGGATTCACTGGCTGAAAGTGGAGCGGGAAGTCCGGGGTTTTCCCTTATCTCCCTCCGTTTCTCTCTTGTTTTGGGATAGAAACGTTAAAAGACAAACAGACTGACTTTACCACCAACACACATCGGGGAAGTGCGCTTTTGGACACTTTTGGGATAGTCTGCACCTGCCGCCGTCGACCTGTCAGTGTTTTCAGGTTTCCAGACAACTACTCCTTCACGTAGGCTATTTCTTTTCATAACTTGCTACAGCTCCAGTTGTCGGGTTTTTGTGCGCAATGGCTGGTCGCTTTAAATCGTCTGTCTGTCTCCATATGGAGGGATGCGGGGCTAAAAATAAATAAATAAATAAACATTAACAACTTCTGTGGATCCAAGGGTGACCTTCTGAGTCTGGATACTGGGACGATTTCAGAAGCCTCTTTCATGAAACCTACTGATCTTGTCATTTTGGGGATCTATTTAGGAGTCTGTGCAGCGTTTTAGCTCAGAGCGCACTTGTGTCTGACTCAACGATGTGCTCCGGTGGGAAATACTGTGTGTTTCTGTTCTTGCTTGAAAGTATCCTGTCGGACCCGGGAACCACGAACCAAGGTGAGTATAAAGAGCCTCAATGCATCCCCCACCTCAGAACAAGGGTGGATCCACAGAACTGACCATTTTATAGTATTTTCCCGACAAAACTGATTCTAATCTCCCCCATTACACGCACGCACGCAAAGGGTAACCTAATGTTTTGCATTGCAGCTCATTTACTCTCTGCACCCATAAATAAAGAAACAATATTCAAGACTTTAAATACGATAAGAGCAATTAAAAAATTCACCTTCACTTATGAACAATGAAATAATTTCACAAGTGATTCCACGTTATTTTGTATATTAGGCTAGCAGATATTTCAATACTAAGATTGCACATGGATGACTAATGTGCTCTACTTGAGGTGTTTTGCTATTTTCCTCCTTAAGTCTTATATGGTTTTAGCATGAGTTGACACATCTATGTGGAATTTGAACAATAATATATAATATAATATAATTAAACATGAATATGCAGCCTCAAAATGCCTATATTATTGACTTAGATGAACCAAGAGATATCAGCCGTGGTTGACTTGACTGATACTGTAGCTTACAAAATACATCTTTGAAAGACTGAACATGGCAATGTTTTAATAACTTTTCAACCCACTAAATTTTGCTCTCAATTTAACCAAGAAATACACATTTAAAAAACACATTTTCAGCCTAAAAATGCATGCGGAAATGTCAGTTTGTCAGCTGTTTTTCCGCTATGAACAGCAACTAAGAACACATATCTTTAAAAGACTAAACGTGGCATTGGAAGTTTTTTTTAAACCACTTCATCTTAAAATACAGACAGGAGCTCCATCAGCCCAATTATGAAAGAGGCTCTGACATTATACTTCCCCTCCACAGAAACATTTCCACAGCTAGGGACCACAAAGTGTTACAGTGAATGTCAGCTTCTAGCACACTCTGTCAGCTATAGTGATGCTTCAGAGATGCCTATTTCTGCCCCTCTTCTGTCTTCTATGATGACTTCATACATTAATGGATAAAAATATAACAGATTTTGGCCCATGCAGTTGCAAGAGGATTCATCACAGACACTTTTGCTATACTTACTGTATGACACATTATATTATGTCGGGCCAGTTGTTGATCTTGACTAAATTTATCAGAAAACTCTTTTCAAAATTCATTTCACATGGGCATTGTGTGCAGTTGCAGATGGTTGAGAAACACAGGACTTAATAATTTTACCTCCCCTCAGTTGTATTCATAAGTCATATGTGTAAATGGTCGCCATAATCTAATCGGTTCTTGACATTTTCCACTTTGCACATTTGCAGAGGTCAGTTTAATATTCCTTCCTGAATGTTTAATGTTTAGGATACACATTTTCAAAGACGACAGGAGCCTTTTCACTAGCCAAATGTCAAAGTCTCTTTCACTTCATTTTTCTGTGTGTCTTGTGTGTGTGTGTGTGCTCAGTTTTCCCCACAGGATGCCTGTCTGCCCGTGGTGGTGACAGGCTTGAAGGGGAGGGGATGCACATAGGAGAAACCTGAAAAAAACGACAACGTGAGGAATTTAAAATATATTGACAACAAGCTAGTATATGTTATCCAGGTGGAATTTATCTGAGTGAGTTTTTTAATGACTTGTGGATGTCCTCTCACAGTAAGAGAAAGAGAGACATATGAGATGCCTTTACATAACAGTGTATTTATTGGTCATTTAGCAATATAAAAAATTATTTTGTATGAATTATGTTAAATATAATGGCAATTTCTAGGTACCTTGTCTATGCGATATCTTAATATCTACTCTAAGCGAGACAAGAGAATCTTCTAAAAGGGGTCTTAAATATGGACTTGATGGCTACATACAAGATAGTGTGTTAAAAGTCCCAGTCTAAAGCTACATGCCCAAGGTAAAAGGTCAGCATCCTCAGAAGTTGTAGAGACACCGTGAAGAATGCATTGAAAGAATGAAGCTGCATTGTTCTTGTACTGAAAGGTAAAGTTAGTTTTTGTATTACGAGAAGAAGAAAAAATTGTAACATCAAACTGTTATTTTTTTAGCTTCTTAACCTGAGCGGGTTAGCTAGTTGTTCAGTGTCTGGCAAAATGCTATTTTGGGGAATGTTGGTTCAGTTGTAAACTTCCTGTAAACTTCATGTGACCGTTGCTAAGCCACGTCTGGACAATCGCTATTTGGATAAGGGGTTTAGCGAATGGTAAACTGGGTGTTTTTTCTGGTCAACAGCAAAAAATAAAATTAAAAATACACAGCAAAAATTAATAAATGGCTCACACATATAGGTGATATAGCCAAAAGTTGTATCACGATAAAACCTTTCACATGCCAAACAAAGAAAAAACTACAGCAGACTGCCAACAAAGCATCCAACATCATAGGCAATCATAGCTGATTCCCTCTATACACATTGGGCGTGCAAAGAAAATCTTCTCCGACCCCTCACAGCCTGCTCACCACTTCTTCCAGGTCCTTCCCTCAGGGACGCGCTGCAGGTCACTCTCCACCAACACCAAACTCTTCATAAACAGCTTTTCCCCCATAGCCATCAGGACTTAGAACTCCTCGCTTTAGCTGCCTCCTCATACACTACCAGCATGGCCATTTACCCAATGTATTTTGTATTGTTACACCTTGTGAAGTGTATTGTCTATTTGTTGTTTGTATTGTAGGTACATGATGCAGAGCTTAAACAACATACTGTATCGAAAACAAATTCCACTGGTATTGTGGCTAATAAAACTATCTATATATCTATCTATCTATATCATTTGATATCAATAATTATCAAGATAAATGTCAAATCATTATTCCTTTCAAGTTTAAAGGCTGATTTTTTTGCCCTGAGTGAAAGTTGAAGAAACCAGATGGTTAATTGTGGTTTTAAACTATTCTTTATGTTCAGAACATGCCAAACACTTGCCAAACAGTGGATCACTTAACAAATCTGAGGTAGAACATTCAAAACAATTATGAGACATCTTTTTTCAGTCCCTTTTCTTCAACAAAATAAATCTTAACAGAAATATTAAGTTATTGAGGAAAATTATATTGCAATAATTATCGCCCTACTTACACATGAATCAGTTATCAAAAGTGTTTTAACTTTTCATTGGTAAATGTTCAATCAACCGGTCAATCAACTAATCACTTAAAGGAGACCTATTATGTTCAGTCTGTCTGTACCGCTCAGTGACAACAACAGCCTGGTAACATGCTTCAGGTCTTGGCCAATCAGAAGACATTGGGCTTTATTCCTTTATTCCATCTATGAGCATTATCAATCCCAGCTTGAAGGCCTGCTCAGATAAAAAAAAAACATTTCAGAAGTCTAAAGTATGTTTAAATGAGATTTGGTCCACCACTTAATATGTCCGTGTAGAAACTCGGAATTTACGTTTGTTCCACACACAAAACAAGCCTAATATATGACGTTAAAGACTGCATTCGGTGTACAGTGCACTGTTCCGACAGTCCTATACCCAAACGAATATGTATACGAATACATGTACTGTTACACCCCTATTATCAATTCTATCAATGGATGATTGCCTACCCAGCCCTGCACACTGTCCCTGTACCTGTTACTTTTTTGTCTTGTTCCATTGTCCTTCTCTTGCTTCTCCTCTTACTCCTCCTGTATATATATGAAATAGTTTATATGCCTATACATAAATGCATATATAAATAATCTCAGGTTATAATAAATGCATTACTTATCCGTGTCTGTGCTGGGTCCTGCCTCATTTGTGTCTGCCACAGCACCTAAGGTACATTTAGCTGCCTCTTGTGCCAACTTTTTTTTTTTCTAAATTATTATCTTTTCGGCACCACACATTTCTTTTTCCTCTTTCTTTCTTATCGACATGTGTACCTGCTCTGTTGTGCTTGTCACACAATCCTGGGCTGGACAAAACGTATTGAGAGTAAACTCCTTTGATTGGCGCCGTTGAGCCAATCAGATTTCAGCAAAAACGAGGGTGGATATGAGCGGCCCCTCCAAGCTGGGAGGGGCCGCTCATATCCACCCTCAATATTGAAAGTTTTAGTTTGGCCCAGTCTGATAGACACACAGACAGCGTTTGCTGCAGCCATAGATTGTATATAAGAAATGGACGTAGTCATCGTAACATCACCCGTTGGTTTGTGGACTGCGGTTTTGAAGCCTTGAGTTTGGCCGATAGGGCGCCACCATGTTGAGTTTTTGCAAACAGTGGCACCGAACGTGACCATATTTGGATGAGACGGTGGAGCTAACGGCCATGTGTAGAGCTAACTAGCTTGCTTAGCTAGGTACATCTGTAATTCACGTTAACTGTCATTTTAACCGGGCTGAATTTGTCTAGCGAACAACAGTATTAAAACTAAATGAACTTACCAGAGAAAGTGAACAGCTGACTCCTAATAAGCTTTTTCAACGCCACTGGTTAAATTTACTCAGTGCCGAGGGTACGAGTTGCCTCTAGCCTGATTGACAGGTCACCGTGGTAACAACTTGTCAATCATAGATAATCCCTCCCTGAAATATACTCTGCTTTGTGGTCTATGTTAAAATAAGTGGGACCATTAACTCATCAGGAAAGTGTTTACTGAGGTAATTATTCAGGTGAGAAGTAGGGTCATTTTAATATTATTTCGAATGGAGCCAGACTTCTTTTTGCAACCAGTCGCTCCCTGCTGGCCGTTCAGTTGAATGCAGGTTTCAGGGACTTCCGTGTTCGCTTCAGATCACGGATCATTTAAAATTAAACACCAGCTCTTGAACACCTGCCAGTTTGGCCTGAAATGGACCGGCCGTTCGGGAATGTTCCCAAAATTCCCGATGACCAATCTGCCCCTGTGTGTAGATGAGCTCAGTTTGCAGTATAATATTTACTGTTACTTTGTTGTGTTTGCTGCCACAGAAAATAAAGAATAAGTCATGTACTACGGCACCTTGTACTCTTAAAAGCAGAGTAGGTCTAGACAGTGAAAAGCTAATTAGTCAGCAACTACAAGTCAGGCAAAAGCAATTAAAATAGCCTAAAACCTCCCAAATACGTTTCGGATTTTCAGACTATCAGAGCTGGAAGTCGCTGTAGAGTAATTGAACTGATCAGATGATTGATTGCGAGTGTTGTGTCTTTTCAGCAACTTTGTAAAACATACTGCTGATGGAGCAGACACTTACAGGGAGAGAGACAGAGAGGCGGGGTAAATGTAAATGCTCTGTATTTCTATAGCACCTTTCTAGTCTTTTCGACCACTCAAAGCACTTTTACACTACATCTGCACACATTCGTACACTGAGCCTAAGTGCTCAAACAGAAACTAACATTCACACACATTCATGCACTGGCGGAACAGCCGCAGGGGAAATTCGGGGTTCAGTATCTTGCACAAGGACACTTCGACATACAGCCTGGGGGAGCCGGGATTGAACCGACCTTCCGATTAACCGCCAACCCGCTCTACCTCCTGAGCCACAGCCGCCCCCACAAGCAGGTGATTTTGCAGTGAGAGACCAGAGGTATAGGAGTGTGTGAGTGTGGGGAGAAGAGATGTCCGAGGCAGATGCAAAAGAAGATAGATTTACAAATAATAATAATGTCCGTGTCAATTAAAACATGCTTAAACAGGACTATGTAATGTTAAAAATTAAGAAGCTTTTCTGTTTACGCAACTTCAGTCTCTTGTTAGTACAAACATTTTTGTTCAGTTTGGCACAAAATTAAGCCTATGCGAGCACTGTTAACAAGATAAATAGCTCAGCAACCACCTAACGACAGCAGACTTAACACATCATGTTCTTTTCTGTGTTTCAGTGAGCTTTTAACCAGGAAGTAACACATACTGTATGTAAACAGCTGAGCTGACAACAGTGCTGTCAGTGATGGTAGGGAGCCTCAATGCTAAAAGCTACTGATTCGGTCAGTGACACTACTGATTCCATATACTCAGTTCAGCTTGAGGATTCAGTGTTAAAGATTTGCTCATTCACATTCATTAATTTGTTCATTCGTTCAGCAATATTGGTGCAAGTGTATAAATGACACATCACAAGAGAAACTGTGGCAATTCACAGACATATAGACTTTGTTTCAGCAAAACTTAGAAAGGACATTTGTAGATTATTATGCTTCCAGACACTATACCCAGACAAAAGTAATGTGATTTGGCCTCCTGATAAATACTCATGCGTGTGGAGTGAGTGAGTGTGTGTGTGTGTGTGTGTGTGTGTGTGTGTGTGTGTGTGTGTGTGTGTGCTTTGAGTGAGAAAATCTGTGTATCATATTCAGCGCTGTGGTCTTGGGTCATCTATTATTTCCTGGCTCCAAAGATAGTTGCAGGAATTTAATTATTTTATGACTATATTACTGTGTATGTATGTTTGGGTGGGTGTGTTTGTGTGTGTGACAGACAGACAGTGATGAGAGTTGGTGGAAAAAGTTTGCTGCTGTCAAACATGTTATGGAACATCTCTCATGATTATGAAAGATTGTTTTTCTAATTTTGTCAAAAATCAATATCTCTCTGTCTCTATTGGTCTGCCTCATAGTCTTTCTCCCAGTCTCTCTCTATGTCCTTCTTTTGAATAGGGGCAAGGCCATCTTATTATAATTCAGCCCTTAATTACCAGCAGGGGGATCAAGGCTAAATTAAGTCTCTGTAAATACTGAAACGGTTCATTTAGTCTCACCAAAGTGTATCTTCTCTAGTTATCTAACTTGTTCTCAAAACAGTAGCAACCCCATTAAATTACCCCAGATTTGGCAAAGTCCGCGAGTGACAGGTCGTCTGAAGATGTGACTCTTTGGTCTATAATGTCAACCACTGAAGTGGGACGCACTTTATTGATAGAGATTGTAATTAACTGGCTATGTGGAGACAAAGGAAATTGCACATTCATCATATCAAATTGGCTCAGGGGGCTTAGCAAGGGCCAGATAATGGCTCTTTTCATGCCTGAGCCGTGACCAGAGTGCAGACAGCAACAAGATTGTTACATTTGTATGTACACAATGTGGTCATGGACACACACAAAAAGAAAGTTGTTAACGCGCACAAAACACCAACAAACACTAATACTGAGATAAGATTACACTATTTTTTTATCTTTTGAAATGATCACAGTGCCAGATTAGCTGCTAGGATCGTAAATTCTTGCTGTGACTAAACGTTGGACCTCGACCAAACAGAGATACCGTGTTTCAAGACTTGCATAACGTACTAAGGTGACGTCGTATAAGTTTTGCAACTTATACGACGTCATGTTGTAAAATCCAACATGATAGTCTTTTAGTCTGGGAATCACGTGGTGTACAAGATGCTGCGTAGGTAATTTTCCAATAATGCACACTAGGATATCATCGTCATATTAGGAATGCATATTTAAATATAAAAAACAGACTTAAGAATCTCCTGTCCCGTTCCAGTCCTGTGATGATTAGTGAAATTGACTCCCATTCTGTGGGAATCCCACAGGAATCCCATGACCCACAGGATTCCCGAAAAAAATGTCAGCCTCTAATGCACACCAGACTCGATAAACTGAGCAGTCTGACAGGTCGGCCATTATTGAACTGATATTCTTCAGTGTGAATTCGACATAAGTCCAAATTCAAGTATGAAGTGAGTGTGAGCGTCCCTCCACATGAAATCACGAGATCCATCCGTCCATCTGTTTTGGTCTGTTGGTCCATCCATCTGTATGTCACACACAAAACTGTTCAGACTTTAAACAAGTGTTTACATTTGGGGGGAACAATAAGGGCAAGATTATTTTGTACATCATGTGTCCACTGATCCATACACTGTTCTATGTCACAGAACTGATCCAAATTGACAAAACTCAAAACATATCTTATTGCTGCCCAACCACACCATTAATTACAACCTTGCTACATACAGGACACACTACGTCCTGCACTGGCACTGATAATTGGAACTGGACCTAAATTGTGAGACATGGAAGCATCCATTATGAATGTTATTCCTAGGGATACTGGACGGTGCTATCAAATGACGAAAGAAATCATTTGGCTCAAGGGGGAACTTAGTTACTCAGTTAACTCCAAACAGTATGATATTGTTAGTGAAAGGGTTGTCACCATTCGTAAAGATTGACTGACTGTTTTTGTCTTAAATTAGTTTAGATCAAATCATTTAGTTTGGTTAAATAATGAAAGTTTCCATAGTCTTCTATCTTTCCCCTTTATTGATCTTTGGCTTATCTTTGATGTCATGTAGCACAGAAAACTCCTGACCTCTGAGAAGGAGAATACTAATCTTACAGACTTCACTTAGATGGAGGGCGGATCTGTTAGTGTTGGTGTTGTCTTAGACTTTCCTAAGAGCTGTTATTTCATAGGTGGTTGAATCTGATAAGGGCTCTACAGCTCTGTCCGCTCATCATTGACAGCTTGATAACTATTGTCTGCTCTCTTCCTATTTTGTCACCTTCATCTCTCTTTTTAAATTCACTAACCTCTCTCATACTCTCTCTCTTCCCCTTTCTATGCTCTCCTGTCACTCTTTGTCCTTATACTGTTGTTCTTTCAAACTTTTCTCCTCCATTTTACATGACTTTCTTTTTCACCACCCCACTCTTTCTAGTGGTTCTGTTGGACACTACGACAGTGCTAGGAGAACTGGACTGGAAAACCTATCCTGTCAATGGGGTGAGTGACATTAGCATTTCTTAAAATAAATATAGTCACAGTGGGGCAAACTGAATAAAATAGACTAATGTACAAATTTTACTTGATGTTCAGACCTAAACATCTAAACATCTAAACTGTCCCAAACCTGACCTACAATGCTTTCTTGAAGAAGTGAAGGTTTATCTTGTGCTTAAGTCTGACAATATTCTGACCAATGTGTCATCCAGTGTTTTTATGTTTAACATCTAATATATAAAAAGGTTAACACTGGGCTAAATTTGGTTGAAAGTGGAGTTTTTTTAACATGTCAAAGCCAGTGTGTTGACGAGTCCCGCAAGTATATTAACGGTTGCCCAGGTATATTTTGTGAACCATTTTAGCGTTTTGCAGAGCAGAGACGTTATCTAGTATTACGTTACAAGATGCAGACACAGTGGATATTTTACAGGGTACGGACCAGGTAAAGCAACAGTGAACACACCAGTACAGAAGACATTCAGTACCAGGTGGGTTCCGATCTTTTTGAAAGGCTATGTCAATAACAAGCCTTATCCACATGCGGCGCACCTGCTGCTGTGAAAACAGAATCACAGGTGGAAAGATTCTAAAGAGTTCTGGGTCTTTTTTGCCAACTTTATGAGATATACTGCTGATGGAGAACGTCAACAGAGCAGATACATACATGGAGAGAGAAACAGAAGGAGGCAGGGCAAGCCACTGTGTTTGCAGTAAGAGACCAGAGGTGTAGGTGTGTGCTTGAGTGTGAGGGAAAGAGCACTGACTGCTTACATATGTCACCATGATGATGAGGGTAAGTTGGGTGTATGATGCAGTGAAATGAGTATGTTGCATGAGTGTATAGTTGCTGATTCAAGTTAACTGTTGTAAGTTAACTAGCTTGCAGGCTTCGCTTCATTTAATAAAAAACTGTAAAAAAAGAAAAGAAAAAGAAAAAAGATGTTACAGTATAAAAAAAAATCTAATATAGCCCAGTTTTAACCTAGACATGATGTCTTTTCACCTGAGAATGTCAAACTAAAACATTATTGGGATATTTTTAGGGATATAATTTACTGCTGTTTACCAATACCAACCAAACCAATACAAGAACGTTTGTCCCCAACCACAGAAGCAAATGGAGCTGCCATTTCTGGTGGCAGCTTTTCAAAATCACACCAGAAGTGACCTGTTTACTTGTGTTGGAAAATGTGTCCCAGATACATGATTATCTTGGCTTTGAGAATGTGTGATCATGCTTGTTTCAAAGAGAAACATGGAGACTGTGACATGTAAACCCACCTATCCATCTTCAGGATTTCTGATGACTATCTGAGCATGCACCTGTTTGACTCAAGTGATTAACCAGAGAAACAAATAATATGGTGATTAACAATATCGGGGTCTATGTGTTGCTTGAACCTCTCACATGAGTTCATTAAAAAACAGTTTTAAGACCAACGAAAATGCTAATATTAGAGAAAAGTGCGAATAATGAATACAAATAAAAAAAATTTCTTCTGTCCTGTCCCAATAATCATGTAATCTCAGATTTATCTGGTGAGCCCTAGGAGGGGTCTGACCATGTTGGTTCGAAAACCACTGGACTAAACTACTTGACTGTGTCTTCAGTAGATAAACTAGCTCCACCTCGACCAGCCACAACAGTAAAATGCTGCTTACACATTATTGCATCAGTATTAAAAAAAGAATGTCATATAAAAGAAGATATCAGTCACACAGGAGATACTGCAGAATGAGGATGTTTCATGTTGATACTTTAACTACATTTTGCTGATAATACTTACTTTTACTGATGAGGATTTTGAATGCAGGTCTTATTTATGCAGGTATTTTTACACGGCTGTACTGGTACTTCCACTAAGTAAAGTAACTACTTTTAAGTGGGTTTATCCTGAACATCTGAGATAACTCAATCAGTTCAGAAACAACAGACCCAGGGGATGTTGAATGGTTAATTACACGCCTCTGCAGACAGCAGACAGTGATCAGAAACTTGGATAATGTTATAATCAAGTGATTAGGGATATGAATAATCGAGTTACTCTATGTCCTATATAAACATCAAATCCTGAATATGATTAAGACAAGACAAGATAGACTATAAACTGTATGAATGTGAACATTAACCCTTCTGACAGCAGGGAGCAGGTCTTGCTTTTTTACAGTTTTTAGCATGGGCACTATGGATCATTAATACACATGAGTTCAGTAAATAAAAACATACTTAAGATAAGATAAATAAATCTTTATTATCCATTTCTGGAAACTTGTCTTTGGCTTCACCAGGTTCATTAATTAACATGAATCCTCATGTGAAGCTCTGGGTCAGCGTCCGCAGCCGCGCCCCCGTATGTGGGGCACAATATTACTGATAGGACACTGCAATTTAAATTTCAAGTTTTAGAGGTACAGCTATAATTTACAGCTATTCACAAATAATGCACACTTAACCTTGAATAAAATATGAACAAGAATTCAGAAACAACACTTTGAGAGTTCAGTAAGACTATTTCTAAAACATTACGGCAGAATAAATCTCCTAAAACACAAAAATCTTGATTCAATAGTCTCTTGTAGTCTCAGCTGGGGAGGGGGGCGGGCTTATAGGACACATGCACCAGTGTTTATGTGCAGAGAATACAGATTTGATCAAGCCTTTAGAATATCTAGAGATTAAACTAATGTAATTCTGGTGGTATAATTCTTATAGGGCTAAACCTGGAGGGGAAATGCCGTAGATATCAGTCTTACAAATATTTCAGCTGGGACTGAGCAACCATCAGCAACAACAATAATTTTTGTGTCTAATTTGGGACACGAGGTGGTTGCGAAAGCAGTGTTTGTGCTTTCAGGCTATTATTAAAAGTGTAATAAATCCTTTCGAGCAAAACCAATAAATAGCAACAAAATACTGAGATATTTTCAGGGTCCAAATACCAATATTGAAACAGCATCTCCTCCCTTGCACACAGCCTAAACAGGTTTTTGCTATGGGGAGCAACAATGCCATTAATTGGTTGAGCAAAAACACAACGCCACCACCCAGATTCACATCAAATCAATAATTCATCAAAACTACAGAGATTTAATGATATTTCATAACACCTTTCTCTCTCCCTTCCCTTTAGTCTGACAATGACAAATTGTCTTGTTTTAATCAAAACCTCACACCTCTTAGCCAGGTTGGGCTAAGACAGCATCTGCCTGTGCAGTGTAGTTAGGTTTGTGTATGTGTGAGTTTTCTTAACAGCCTAATGTCTTTTTCAGCACCTAGTGTCATGAAACGTTGATACTAGAATTTCACCTTATGGGGCAACACCAGATTCATTTTCTTTTTTTGCTGTACACACATTGGTACTTGTCGGTGTGTTATGTCAATATTGCACAGTTGATTTTTCCAACAATGTACATATTGTGTGCAAAAAACACCTTTAGTTTTTGGTTTTTGGAGTTTAAAGGTCATTAAAGTCATATTCTGTTGCTCCTACTCAAGCAAGGAAACACTAGCTTTGTAGTGTCATTCTCTGACATCTTCTCTCCTTGGACCTCCATGGACTCCGGGCCCACAAGGCCAAAGGGTCCAGGAGGCACAAATCATCACAAAGGTTCAAACTGTTAATGGATGGGACCTCCTTCCATGGTGAAAGTGTGATGAGAGATGTTGTGAAATGTGTCTCTGTCCAGTAGGGCTGAACAATTTTGAAAAAATATCTAATTGCAATATTGTAATTGCGATGTAATTTGCAATATTAGAGGGAATGATTATTTTTACATCATTATTCTCTTTTTCATTGAAAAACATGTGGTACCAAACAAATGTGTTTTCTTAAGTCTGTAGAATATATAGGCCAGGACATCTGTGCAGCAAGATATTATTTAATTTAAAATGATATTGTACCTGCGCATGTGCACAATGCAGTTGTGAATGAATGAATGAACACCCAGCCCCCTGGAGACACCATATTTTAAAAATTCTGTTGGATACTCTGCCTTGCAACCTGTATTTTATTTATTAAAGGGCTTTCTTTTTGAAAATTGTCACACTGACAATGACTGAAAAGAGAACGGATTGATCCATAGATACATCTCCTACATGTTCATGTAGGATTAATGTAGCTTTATATAGTTTACTAGAAGTCTAGTGAAAGTTCTAAGTGCTGGTTTGCCGCAGGCAGACACAGAGTGGTTAAAAGTTAATGAACCTATCCTTGCTGAAAAGACAAGATGTTAAAGGAATTTTCTTGAGCACCTTATAAAGACTACTATCGATCAAATGACTAGATTAATGTGGCCGATTTGACCATGAGGCAGGTATCATTGTCAAGCTTAGGGGTTCCCATCTTCACACACTTGGTCCACTGCTTTTGTTATTATATGCTAGACACTGATGAAGCAAAATTACATCCACCCAAAATGATGAAAAATGCTCAGATGTGTTTTGGCTGGTCTTCACCACTAGTGTCTCACATATTATGTGATATTGAGACATTGAACAAGTAACTTTCAGTTTGTGAGTAGGATTGATTGCAAAAGCTCTACTGAAGGGTCTAAGCGTCGCTCAACATTAAGTGCTAAATCAGCATTAAATTATCGCTATAAACAGCACCTCTTTGGCTTCCTTTCTCTTGCTTTCTCCTTTCTCACAGTTCTTCCATTGAATTTTCTGGCAAAGTATGTAGCTCAGAAATGAATCTAAAGTTCTGGTTATGCTTTTTCACCTAGCTCTGCTTTATCAGAGGATCTTAAAGTTCTCAGAGAAATAAATTTTAATGATGGCCACAGGCGTTTGTGTTGAAAAGTGGTGGGCACATAAGACTTCAGATTAGGGGCGTGATGATACACTTGGGTCACGAAACGTGATGATGCACGAGAACAAGACGAGAAGATTTTAACACTATTTTGAAAAACTAATAAATGCAAGGGTCTGGGGATCCTCCCCCTTAAAATTGGAGCAGTAAACACTTAATTTCCTGCATTTTGGAGGCATTCTGGAGACA